TTTCTACTGTGTACATCTTTTACAAATAAATTTTACAGTAAATCCTATCACACCTATAGCATATATACCGTGGCAATGAAGTGATCAATTCAAGATATCCTGAGAAAAAAGATTGTTTTCAAAAGTCACACATACATTGGGGAAGCTATACTATGCCAACAAATTCACGTACATCCAACAAAAGTCTGTTCCATTAGTCTGGGTTGACAGTGCTCTGTGGCTCCTTCTTTTACAGTGGCACAAGATGCAGTCCCGGTGAGAGAGCGGCTTTTTATATCTGTGTATTTATTAACTTGGGAGGAGAGAATGGCCTGCTGACTTTTTTTTTTTCCAAAGCAATTGTGACACCTACCTGTGGACCAAGGAAAAAACCAAATCATCCCAAATCCTTCAGTTCCACACCGACATCATCACATTATAAAAAGGATTCATCTGAAAGGGTTCAGTCTCTTTCCCACCTTCAAGATGCGTAAGAAGTGATTTTGTCTATTTGTAAATTAGCTTTTTAAAAAATACATTACTGTGAGCCAGATGATCTACAGGGTCCTATCTAGTCCATCCAGTCACAGGGGGGTGGGCCTGCTAAAAGATGAGTGCTTCTTGTTTATCAGTCTTACTCTGCAAGCGCCATCTAGAAAGGCTTCTGCTACCAAGTTTCAGCAACACTAACGCATCAAAGCAAGTGTCTATTCTGTGTTTAGCAGAGTAAAGACACTCCATATTGCACACAAATTCTAAAATCCCAGGTTGAGAAAACAGTATATAGACACACACACACACACACACACACACACACACATATTCATTCCATTCCAGTTAAAGAAGTAATTCTTCAAAGCAGAACTTGAGCAAAAATAAAAAAAAATAAAAACTCTATAGAAGAGACCAAATCCTTTCCCACTTAAAGGAAGATGACCATGAAGATTGTGATGCTGTCCTCAGATCCCAGGACAAGAAGCAAGAAGTAAGACATTAAGCAAGTTTACAGAGCAATCGGTGCAGGAAGGATCCCCCAGGGTGGGCGGAAACACCAAGGTGCCCACTTACTTGCATTGCTGTGTTCGGCCCTTCTATAGGTAGGGCTGGACGCCCCCACCAACCATGGTGCAGCCCTCACTGGCATCTGTCAGGGGAGGGGGCAGTTAGTCAGAACCAACCCCACAGCCATCTGTCTCCCAGACAGCAGCACAGCCACCAGCCCGCACACCCAGGAACGCTCCCTGCATCGGGCAAACAGTTAGAGGAACCCAACTGTCCACCCGGCTGTCCTGAAACAGATTTTGGTCACATTTCTTAGCTCTCATTTTCTTACCCCCTTGAGCTCCTTTTACAGGTCTTACCAGCTCAAGCCCACATTATGATTAACAGAGGCATTATAGGGAAAGGGAGAGAAAGGAAAAGGGCTCTGGTTTTCTATTTTGAAGAACTAAAGCCTCTGGGAATAACTGGAACGTTTTGTTTCCTTCCAGCCAAAGGCAGAAGGAGAGACTCTATTAACAACAAAACACAGGAAGCTGAAGCTCAGTCAGTGTGGGGACAAACTGTAATTTGCATTTTGTGGCAGTTCGTCTTTGCCAAACTGAAACTGCCGTGATGACGATGGCGATCATAATAAATAAATAAATGAGGCGGGTCTCCTCGCCAGGCCAGGGTCTCCTCGCCCATCCCACCTCTCTGTTTGGACTCATCACTCCCATCTCTTCTCCTAATTTTTAGTCAAAGCGTGGTGCACGCACTCTTTTCTCGTTTCTCCTTTAAGTGACAAACATTTCTCCCGCATATCCACGGGTCAGGACTCCAGGCCCCTTCCCTGGGTTTCTGGGGAGTGCTGACTAACCGGCCCGCTGCCTGTCCCTCCCAGGGGACCCGCAGCCGCAGCAGCCTACCTTTCTTGGGCTCGTAGCCGCTGCCCGGGGGCCTGTAGTGGGGCTCGAGTGGATGCGTGCCTGCCTTGCCGGCGTCGCTGCCCGCCTTGGGCGCCGAGTGCAGCGCCTCTCCCGGGCCTGACGCCGCCGCGTTGTATCTCAGGAGCCCCTGGCCCTGCAGCGCAGCGTTCAAGTTCCCGTAGTTTGTGTAGTTGCCATAGAAGGGAGACGTGTAGTAGAGGTGGCGGCCGAGGAGCGGGGACGCAGGATAGGGCGAGCCGCCCGGCGGAGCCCCATTGGAGGAGGGAGCTGCGGCTGCTGGCAGCCCCGGCGGCAAGCAGCCCGGGCCCAAGCTAGGTTGCTTGAGGTCCGACGTGGCGATCTCGGCCAGAGACCACAGCTTGGGTTTGCTGGCGGGCTGAGGCGCGCCCGGGGACGTCCGGCTGCCCAGGGGCGTCTTGCCGCCGCCACCGCCGCCACCACCACCGCCACCACGGGGCGCAGCATCGGGCTGGGGGCTCAGCAACGGCGCCTCCACGCCAGTGAGCGGCGACGAGGTCACGGCCTTGGATGGCGCCAGGTCCCGCTCGCCCTCCTCCTCCTCGTCTTCGTCATCCTCCAGATCGTCGTACTTATCCTTGCACTCCGAGCCCGATTCGCACAAGGGGTCCCCGGCACGGCACGGCAGCTTCTCCCCATCCGACTCGGCCGAGCACGAGTGATCAGTGAGCGAGTCGACATGCAGGCTGATCCCTGCAGGGGCGCGGGCACCGTCTGTGGCACGTGGAACAGCGCAGGCACCCAGGGCCCCTCTGCCCCACGTCCAGGTAAACCAGGCCCTCCCCATCACATCCCTCACCTCCCCCTAGAACCTGCCACAGCCTGGAGGGAGCACGGCCTTCCCGGGAAGCACCCCGAGGAGTCTCTAGGCCCACTCCTGCCGTGACGGCAGAGGCTGTCCAGGCTGGAACCTGGGCTGTGGGGCCGGGAGCGTCCTCCCCTCCCTCAGGTCTGCACCCCGCCTAGGAAGAAAACTCCCCCAGACCTAGAGCCAACTGAGGCCTTGCTCACCGCTCACCTTCGTCCTCCGCGGATGTCTCGGTGCCCTCCTGCGCCTTATCCGGACTCTCCTTGCTTCTGGTCGCGTCGCCCTCCTCCTCATCCTCGTCCTCGCTTTTGTTCCTCGGGGCCCACGTCATCTTGTTCTCTTTCTTGAGGCGCCGGCGCGCGTTGGCGAACCAGGTGGAGACCTGCGTGAGGGTCATCTTGGTGATGATGGCCAGCATGATCTTCTCCCCCTTGGTGGGGTAGGGGTTCTTGCGGTGCTCGTTGAGCCAGGCCTTGAGCGTTGCCGTGGCATCCCGCGTGGCGTTCTTGCGGTAGGCCGGGTCGTTGAGCTGGTAGGGGTAGGCCGCGCTGCCGTAGGGATGGTAGCTGATGGCACCGGTCATCCCAGTAGTGTGCGCGTCGTAGGGCGTGCCCTAGAACCGACAAGAGCCTGGTGATTGGGGTACGCGGGTACCTGGCAAGCAACCGCCCGAGGGCAACCCCTTGGACAATCCGCGGCCGCCTTTCCCACGGCGTCTCCCGCGGTGGAGCCGCGCTTCCCGCAGCATCAGAGCGGGGGGGGACTCAGCGGGTTATTAAGGCCAGCTGTTGATCTCTCTTTCTCTCTCACTCACACACACACACACACACACACACACACACACACACACACAGCTACAGCTTTATTCGCAAAATTTTGAACTATTTCTCTTTTCTTAAATGGCATATCTTCTGCAAAATCCTTAGGCCGCGAGGACAGACGCTCGCAAGCATGCAGGCACACAGAGACCCGAAGGTAGTTTCTTGATATCTAAATTTCTCTGGATTCTCAAGCGCTGCGGCCTCCCCTCCCCCCCACCCCGCACACTCCCCCCTACCCCGCCCTTACATGGTTAAAAAACCACCCCGAGCCCCCGCTCCGCTATTCACGGGCCCAAAGCTCCGCAAATCCAATTTGCAACTTAGAAGCCAGTCACCGTTTCGAATTCTTCAAATACGCGGTAATTAGCATTTTAATTCAGCCTTTAACGTTTAAATTCGAGGCACTTGCAGCTTTCACCAAGGCCCCAGCTACTCAGTCGCTGCCCTGAAATTCCACCGAGGGCGGGCAGTGCCGACAACCCCTTAACGGCCTCAATCGCCCGAAAGGCGCTCCACCGACACAGCCGCGGCGCCCCGCAGCAGAACCAAGGCGCGTGGGTCGACCCGGGACCGGGGAGCAGGAGCTGCTTTCGGTGCCCAGGGGACCGAGAGGGCACTTGACGGGCCACATGTCCACCGACACATTTTTCGAAAGTACAGCCTGCGGTACTGATTACGAACTAGACCAGGCGTAACCGGGCCCCAGAGCCCTAGCTTATGCTTGGCTCCCTCCCCCAAACCCGTGACCCCTCCCAATCCCCGCAAGTAACTGCAAAGCGCCCACAGACTCCCCGGAGGTCCCAGTGGCGCCGACCTTCGCACCGCGAGCAGACAGAAGCGAGCCCCGAGCCCGCTCGAGACCCCTCGCCAAGCCTTCGTACCTGAACTAAGGACAACCCCCAACAGAACCTGATACCAGCGTAGTCGTACTTTCCAGGTTCTTCGGACGAATTTACCCCGGGAGCCTAAGGGAAGCGGCGCGCGTCCCGGCCCGGGCTCAAGAACGTCGCCGGCCGGCCGCGCTGCCACTCACCCCGGTCTCTGGTCCCGCCAGCGGCGCGGCGGCCTGAGTCGGAGACACGGGAGCCACCACCCACAGCACGATTCCCGCTGGCGGATCCCCGGGCCCTCTCCGCCTGCATCCCGACCAGGGTGCCCACGCCCAGGAGTCCCGCGTCCCTTCCCGCCCGCGCGGTTACCATGTAGGACGGGAAGCCGGCGGCTGCGGCGGCGGCGTCCGCCGAGTACTGCAGCGGGCTGCCGAAGCCAGTGGCTGCCTGCGCCGTGAAGGCCGCCGAGCCTGGGTAAGGGCTGAATGCGGAGCCCGACGCCGAGCGCGCCAGCTCCTCGCTGCGCGGCGCTGCCAGTGCCGAAGCGCCGTACGCCGGGCACGAGTAAAGCGCCAGCGAGCCGGGCGCCTGGTACAGGTAGCCCTGCGGGTAGGACATGGTGGGCGCGGGGCCCGCGTCACGCCGAGCAGCGGGCAGAGCTCGCGGCGCCCTCCATCCACGCCCGGCCGGGGCGCGGGGCGGTGGCGGGCGCAGAGGCTGCGGGCCGAGGCAGGCCGACCCGCGCACTAGCCCGGGCGGCCCGCGGGCCGGGGGAGCGGTGGGACGGCGGCAGTGGCTGCAGTGGCGGCGGCAGCGTGGAGCCAGTGGGCGCAGCCGCGCGCCAGGCCGGCGGTCGGTTTTGGGGGAGTCTGGAGTCGGGAGTGAGGAGTTGAGGAAGGAGCGCTCGAGTTTCCGAGGGACATTGGAACGCAGAGCTGTCCGTCACGCGCTCATCTGCATATTCGGGTGCCCGCCCTCTCCCTGGCTCCGCCTGCTCCTCCCGATCCAGCTGCCCTGCCACAGCTGGGGGAGGAGCCCGGAGCCGGGAGGGGAGGAGAGGAGAGGGGAAGGCAGAGCTGAGGGGCAGGGGGGCCGGAGCTGGGAGGAAAGAGGAGGGAGGGACGCGCAGGCTTTTGTGGCGCAGCCGCCTCTCGCCCAGCCCTAGCCCCGCGGCCCTCGGCCCCACCACCTGAAGGGGCCAAGCCGTGCGGCTCGGCTCGCACCCCCTCCCGCTGGTCTGTACTCCCAGCCGGGCCCCCCACTCCCGCCTTAGCCACCTTCTCACCTCCCCCACCCACCCCCGCCACCCTGTCCCAATGCAGCCACTGGCCCGCCTCCCGGCTCCGCACGCGAGGACTAGAAAGAGGCCTCCTGCAGTCTGGCCGGGCTGGTAGGCTTGGTGGAGGAACAGTCCGAGCCCCCCTCGTCACTCGGAACAGGCCCACCCAGGTGACTGCGCGCCGGACCCCAGTGTCCCCGCCGATAGCTTTCGGGATGATGGGGGGTGGGTCTGAAGGCACAGGCAGCCTGAGACATCCTGGGGGTGGCGTGCGCGGCTCTTACTTCCACCTTCCTGGGTCCACTCCGCTTCCCTGTGGGAGGCGCCCCGCGTGGCCTCGCGTCTGGTCGCCTGCCCCGCGCCACTCAGCGTCTCCCCGTGGGACCCGGATCCGGGGCGCCTTCGCCGCGAACTGCCAGGAGAGCCCTGAGGTGAGCCTTCTGCCCCGAAGTCCGTGGTAAAGACCTGGGTCCACGGGTGTTTGCACTTTCCCAGGTCGTGAATGTTTTAAAATGCGTTGCCTGGGCTTCACCCCCAAAAGGGCTTTGCCTTTTAAAACTCGAGCTCTTTTTTTGGATTTGTGCTGTAAAACACTCAGGGGAATGACTGTCACTGGACAGACAGACCGCCTCCCCGACCCAACGTGAAGCTCAGGACCGGTGGCTCGGGAGCAGTCGGCAGCGCAGGTAGCTCAGGTAACACGCGTCTCGGGGGGTACCTTGCGGGGCGTAGGGAGAGATGCGTAGCTATGGAACCCCGAAAATCTCCCAATCCGCATTCCTCCTCCACCCCTCCCACACCGGGGTCCCAGGGAAGAGGAGGCCGGGAATCACCGAAGGGGAACTCTCGCTCCACAGGAAGTCTGGTGTGTGCCGGCCTGAGTGGGGGCGCCCACCCAACAGGTGCCTCTTCCTCGAAGGCTGTCTCGGGTGGGCAACCTGTAAGGGGAGGACGCCTTAGGTGGCAACCCGGGCCTACAACTCTCCTTCCCCCACACCTCTCCCACCCCCTCACCCAGCCCCCTTCCCCAGCCCTGTGGGCTCTGCAACCCTCTTAACGGCCTCGTTTATCGAGTATCCTCGGGGTCGCTGGCGAGTCTGCAACGCAGGATCACAAGGCTCCAGCCATCAGCCTGAGCTCCCGAGGGACATTCAAGAACACAGGCTGAGTTTGATCGTGCCCGATCCCAGGGAACCAGGTGCAAATTGTGCTCCTTGGCCTGCAGGCTTGTCACTCCTGGTAGGTGCGGTCCAGGCAGTTACACTAGCCGCCTTCTCTTGCTTGCGACCAACCCCGACGTCCTTCACTAGCCCTCACACCCCGGCCCTGCGTTCCTCCCCCCAACCACTATTCCTGCGGACCACAGCCCTGCCCCCTCGATCCATCAATCTTCACTCCCCCCAGCACAGCACTCCCCACCACCGCTCCCCTCCCGCACGCACCACTTCCCACGCACTTTGGGCCTCTGCAAGGACGCAGCAGAGGCGTTCCAACAGTGCTTCCACCCCAAGTGGGACGTCCGAATTCAGTGCAGGGCCGATGTTTTAAATCAATTATTGTATAGAGAAAAAAGAAAAAGAAAGAGAGCGCGAGCGAGGCCCCAGCCGCCCTGTGGAGCATGCCAATGACAGGATCTATGACATTTTTGGTCTTTCTGGAGGGAATCTGGCTGGAAAGAAGCTGTAAATGAGTCGTGCACACTTGGATGACAAGCATAGGCAGCAACAGATTAAATTGCAGCCTTTTGGTTCTCTTCCATTTAAATAGTTTAAGTGAAAAAAATCAGGTCTAATTTTTTTATCTCCAAGAAGGAATGGCCTCGAGAATTTCCATTTCTAAAGACCAGTTCCTGCTGTGGTTTCATTAGCATTTGGGGCTCAGCCCCTCACCCTCCCTCTCCCCCTACTGATCTCTGCCAGGGGCAGAAAAGAAAACAGCGAATTATTACAAAAACATCCCCCGTTTGGAGCAAGGGAGTTCGCTCGGAATACACTCGATTTTGACATCAATTAAGTATCTAACCAGACAAGTGCACGTGGCTTTGGAGGGTCTCCCCGTCGCCCAGGGTGCGTATCCAGAAACACTGCCTGCTCCCTCTCTGCTCAGCGCTGCTGATTCTAAAGACAGCCTCTTCCTGAGTGTATTTCCCCCCCAGCAATTACACTCCTCCACTGAAATCTAAATTTTCCATACTGCTGCCTGCTACTAATAAAAACCGTCTACCTTGCACTATTAAACAGTCGAATCGCACTACATGCCGTTTTTATTGGTAGTGACTGTAGCAAATTAAAATGCCTACGCAGAGACATTAAAACTCACGGTCTGCATTGTTACTGGAATATATAACTCCGTTTCGATTTAAAGCTCCCTGATTTTGTAAAATCACTTTTCCTTTTCTTAGATTAAAGTTGGCTTGGCCTTCTTTTTGAAAAATCAATCGAAAAGACACGAGGCACACGGGTCGAGGCCAAACGCAGTGGCTCCTTGAGCGGCCGCCTGCCAGGGTGGACTGAGCCTCCTTGCACCGCGCGCGTGTCGGGCCACTGCGGCGAGAGCCGCTCCCGGGAAGCAGGGACCTGGACTCGTTGCTTACCCGCGCAAAGGGGCATTCGGGCTTGCGGGGCGCCGGGGTGGGTCAGGCTTTTGGCTTCTGCTTCTTTCCAGTTATGTCCGAGCTGGAATAGTAGAGAACAGGCTGGCCCACGAGGCAAACCGAGGAACTGCTTCGACAGTGCAATTGCGTGGGCCATGTGCACATCCAGATTGGCAGTGGGCCCTTCCCTCCCCTGTGTGTGCATTTTTTAAAAAGAAGTTTAACACCGTCACATTTTTGTTTTCTTGTCCCCACAGTGGCCGATGCACCTAGAACAAGGTGGTGTGAAGGTGTACGTTTTCTGGAGCCGGGTTCCCCGCGAGGCTAAGCCCTGAGAAACGCCTGAAATGCGGCCCGGACTCCAGGGTTCTCCCGGAAAGCGGCGGCCGCGGGCCCAGGCGCTCTGCAGACGAGGCACGACCTGGCTGCTCCAGCCGCCGGGAGCCCGGATAGGCGCGGGCTCGAAGTCCTGCTCGCGGGCGGCGAGGGGGCGCTGTGGCCCGCCGCTGCGGCCTCGTCCCTGCAACAGTGGCCCCAGCGACGTCCCCAGCCACCGACGGGTGGCGGGCGCTCCTGCCTAGACCCGACCTACCTCTTCCTATGAGGTTTAATTCGAGAAAGAACAATTTTATCAGGCATTGCAATAAAACCTACTCCGCCCACGACCCTTTTCTCATTGCCTTATTACCCTGAGCTTCGCTGGACTTTGTAAGACCTTGGTGAATATTTTGGGATGTGTGATTTTTTTTTTTTTTGTCAGTTGGGATTACTATATAGATTTTACATGGATGCTTCAAGGGGAACATTTAATACGTAAGAAGTTTCAGTGTATCAAAGCATACTCCTATTGCGTTCCTGAAGAAGGTTCCTCCTGTCCCTGGACCTCCTGTTATTTGTGGAGGGCGTGTCAGCAAGAAAGAAAAGCCAGGAGAGTGAGAAGTGTGATAGTGCAACTTCTCTTCTCTTCTCTTCTCTTCTCTTCTCTTCTCTTCTCTTCTCTTCTCTTCACTTCCCTTCCCTTCCCTTCTCTTCTCTTCTCTTCTTTCGTTCTCTCCTCTCTCTCTCTCTGGAAAACAGAAATACGTCATTATAAATTGTACCAAAATTAAGTCGAAATGAAAAGTATCTTTTCAGCGTGGTGTCGGCCCACCCTCTCGCCAATTGATGAGCAGGTTTTGTAGGGTTTCTAACGCAGCGGTGTTCCCAGAGTCCCCAACTCGCTTCAGATGCTGAGACGTGCGCCTGGAAAACACGCGCAGGGGGGACACCGCACAGGCTGAGGGGTCCCAGTCGCTCCTGCCCGGAAACGCTGCGCAGGAATGCAGCTCGGAGTTTTTAAGCCGGCCAGAAGGCCTGGGCCGTTCCGGCATCCCGGGCCGCTCGGAGGGGACCCAGAGAGACTGGGGAGGTCCCCGGACGGCGGTCGCGCTCCTTCTTTATGTTCTAAAACCCGGGTTCTCACTTTCTGGGCTCTTCCCCACTTAGCTGACTCTGTAGCTCGTAATTGCAGCGACGTCTCTTCCTTGCTGACCTGTCCCTCCCGATTTCCTTTGGTGGGCAGCACGACTGTCATCCTCCCCACCAATGACCCGCGTCCGACGTGCTTCCTGAAGGCTCTTCCCCCACTACGCCCAGAGAATCCTCGGACCTCGCCTTTTCTCGGCATCTCGATGACTCTCTGTCCTCTCGCCTCTCTGCCCTTTTCCTCCCGTCCCTCCTCTCCGTGCCCCTTTGGCGGACACCCCCTCTCCGTGCAGGACACGCATGCCCTGGCCCGAGGCTGCCGGTCCGCGTTTGCCCCGCGGGCGGGCTTCGCTGGCTTTGAACTGGGAGGGAGTGCGGTGAGGAGCAGGGGAGCGCAGGGAGAAGAAAGGAGGACAGGCCCGGAACTGGACAGGCCAGAGTTCTAAGGGATCGGAGTGGCAGGAGACCCGTTTCCACAGCAGCGAAGGCCTGAGCGCCCTGTTCTTCACGTGTGGTTGTTTGGAAGAAGAAAAGTTGGTAGTGTTCAGCCTTTTCACCTTTACACTCTCACACTCAAACAGAGCGACCCTCAAACAGAGCAACCCAGACACAGGCGCGCGCGCAGGCTTCCCGGAGAGGTCTGCGGCGCGCCTTTGCAGCTATTGCGGGCGAGTGGAAACAGATGAAGAGTTGTCAGTTTCTTTCTTTCTTTTTTTTTTTTTTTAATGTTTCTGCAAGACAGTCTTTGGAAGAACTTAGCTCACCCCCATCTCTCTCGCCCCGCTGGCAGCTGCTCCGTCGCTCTGCACTCACTGTTTTAAACACCAGAGCGCACCTCCGAGGTGCCCAGGGCATTTTCGGGCGAGAGCGCCCAGGAGGGCGCCGAGACCCCAGGAGGCCGCTCTGACCCGGCAGGAACAGTTAGGACTCCTGGCCTGCCAGAAAACATTGGAGAAAGAAGATTTCCTCCATCTTTTGAAAATTACTTTTATACAACAAGTGAGGCTCTCTAGAGCGTTTGTCCGGGGCCATGTTTCACATCCTTTGACTAACATTGATTTTTTTCGTGTCCCCCAGATTACCAACTCCGCAGCATTGCAGTCACGAACGCTTGCCGCCTGGCCCTTCCTGAACACTCTGGCTCCTCTGACGCACAAGGGGTTGTGTCCGTAAGGAAAGGGAGGGTGCTTTATTTTATTTTTTTTTCCTTTTAAAAAACTAGTGGAAGGCAGAAAGAAAAAATTGACACATTTGATTGTATTAAAAGTGAAAACTTAAGTTGAACAGAAAGTAAATTTCAGACCCTGACCCTGAGAGAAGATAACTTGCAGAACTTATAAGTAACAAAAACTGCTGGGCTCATCATGAAGAATTCCGACCATCAGTGTGTGAAGACAAGGCACCCCTCTGAAAACGGGTCAGGGACAGGCACAGACCCTCTGCACTGAGGAGAACTAAAACACCATGTACCAAAGCTGCACACCCTCCCTAGTGATGGGAAAATCTGCAGACGGTGTGCAAGATGCCACTTTACTCCCCCCTGGATGACACCAACCGGGCCCAGGATGTGCAGAGCCAGGCAGCTCTCTTGCACTGCTATGCTAGTTTAAATGGCCGTGAAGAAGTTAGGGAGATGTGGCAACAAATGAAAGAGCAGGAGATGCCCACATCCTGTCACCTTGCAACCCCTGGGCTCATTGTCCACCACAGAGTAAACGCCAGGCCCAGCGCGTGCAGCACTGTTTGTGAAGTGCAAGACTGGACCCCTCCTGAATGGCAATCAGGAGAGGCCTGGGTAAAGAATAGGGCATGTTTCATGGAACAGAATGTTCCCTGGGGCTCCAAGTGAGGGAAGTAGCTCCACTTGTATCAACACGCAGAAGTCCTGAGGGTGTAAAGTTGGGTGGGAAAAGTAATAATTAAAAAGAAGGATGCAGAGATGATGGTGCTGCTGATGAAGTTTTACAAACAATGATGTTGTGCTCTTTACAGGCGCGGGGAGGGGCTGCAGTAGGATGTGAAAGGCCCCTTGCCCCTTTCCTGCACACGAAGGGCCCTGAGGAGTGCCGTGGGAACCGTGGGGTGAGCTGTAGTACCAATATTTTATTTCTATGAAATATATCTGCAGTAAATGACAAAATAGTCATAGTTATTAACTTTGAATGGTGATTACCTGGGATTATATTTTTCTCCATAGTTCTATGTTATGAAATATTTTATGTCCTGAATATTAAAATCAAAAATAAGTGCTCGTGTTTAAAAGGAGTGTCCTAGGACAGAAGTGTAAGTGCTTTCTTTTTAAAAAATTGTTAAAAGTTTACACTCTCCATCTCTTCCTCTCTCTATTACCCCACCCATCAAATAACATAAATAGTGTCCTGGGTCTGCAGTCTAGACCTTTAAACTGATAGTCACTTGTGTGCATGTCCTGTGCCATTTACCCAAAGCAGGCAGGAAAAGCAGTCTCCTAGGCAGGGTGTGGGGGCCCGGGCACTGGCTCTGTTCATGGATGGTACACCTAGGTCCCTAAGGAAGTGAAGGGCGGGCCTGGGTGCAGCCTGGCTTCCCATGGGCCACCAGAACATCTCTGTCAGGGAGTTTACGCCTTTACTCTATGTGAAATTCTGCACCTTCTTTTTATATCACAGTGAACATATTTTACAAATTCGAATCAAGATCAGACAGAGGGCCTATGAGGAGACAGAAATAAAAGGCCAAGGAGAGGGGCTGAACACAGCCTGGAAAGGAAAAGAGAAGAGGCAGCAGTGGCAGCAGGGAGGGGGAGGCGTCCAGGCTTGCGGCAGGCCCCTCTGGCTCACACCTCCTCTCTCTCAGAATGAAAGGCCATGCCTTTTTGGCCCCTGAGCTCTTTTGAAAACCAGTTCATACCCTGTGCTCATCTCCCCACTGCAGCCTGAGAAATCCGGATCTTCAAATACAAATCTGCTTAGAGACCTTGCACAGAGGAAGAGACCTTGAGGCCGAATCCTGTGACCAGGCCTCATTACATGATTACATGGTCTCTGTCTGGCATTCTATTCCTCAACCTGTTCAGAGCTAGGCTGAAAGAAGGGCAGTATTTCCTTGGAACCAACAAGCTTTCAAGGATTCCTACATGGCCAAAAGCCTCCGGGGCTTGCTTCTACCAGCAGCTGTTGGTGTGGCTGCCCCTACCCTCCGCTAGGGGTAGGTACCCTGGCCCTTCCAGCTGAAGCCATACTTCCTCCTACTCTTGACCTCTGCACATTGCTTCCCACCATCAGCTCCTTCTCCAAGGTTCTCATTCACCCCTTCTTCTTGGAGCCCAGAGGTGCCGGTATCAGTCTGTGATGGTTCTTTGGCCTCAGTTCCATCCCTGACTCTAAGCATGGCAAGTACTGGACACTAGACAAATATTGATTAAATGAATGAATGAATGAATGGATTGCTCTTGGTTACTTGCCTTAACTTGTAAAAGGCACAGTAGCATGTCAAGGGAGAGAAAAAGCAACGAGGACATTCATCTCAGCCTTGCTTTTCTCTTGGAGATACCTCTGTACCTGAGCAGCATGGATCACACATAATCCAGGCAAATTAGATCTCTCCCCAGGAACCCTGGCATCCCTGTATAAAGCACCATCTATTTCAGATGTTAAATTTAGGGTCCAATAGATATGCACACTTAAAAAAACATTTGGTTTTTAAAATAAATTTCTGAGTTAGCAATCAGCTCAAAACCTTGCATTCCTTGGAGAAAGTGAGCATGCCTTTTTATGTTTGCATCTCAAAAGACCTGCCCAGTTCCCAGCACATAGCAGGTGCTCAACACAATTAGTCCAGTGAATGAATGAATGAATGAATGAATGAATGTTAGCATTTGGAAAAAGGGAAACTTGAACAAAACCAAACTGATAATATTTTCAGAAAAATATCCAGAGTGGAAAATATAGTATTTAAAACATAAGTTAGATTTTATCAAGGATTCTATAGGTATAGACAAGCTCATTCTAAAATTTACTTTTAAAGATATGGGCCTTAGCAGAGCTAAAGCAGTTTTGACAAAGAAGAACAAAGTGTGAAGAATCTGTCTACCCTATTTCAAGACATCACATAGCTCCAGGAATTAAGAGAGTGTGGTGTTGGTGGAGGGATAAACATAAAGCATTGGAACAGAAGAGAACCCAGGAACAAACCCACACAAATATTCCTGG